TAACTTTTGTTATCTTTTAAAACCATTTATATATATGAAATCATATAAAATGTAAAGTTTGCAAAAAAATTATTTGTATAATTATTAGTGATTTATTAATAAATTTCACAAAAATACCAGACAGAAAATTACAAAATAGTGAATTTATATAGGGATAAACATGTTAAGAAAATTGCAAAAAAAAATGATAAAACAACTAAATAAAGATAAATTTACTTTTTAATATATGATTAACAAGAAAAAAAATAAAAGAATCAAGTGTAATTTTTTTATCATCAACTCAAAAAAATTTGCAAAATAAAAGATGTGAGAATAAATGTGTTAAGAAATATATATTTATAAATTTGCAAAATAAAATTAAAAAAATAAATTTGATTTGCAAAAGAAATTTCTGAAAAAATTAAATTTTTTCGTTAAACGGATATAGAAATCTAATTAAAATATATGCAAACTAAAAAATATTTGCAAAAACTCTTGTTAATTTTTCGTTAATTCAATATTTACAAATATATTTTTTGTTCAATTATTTTTTAAAAGTTTAAATTTAATGGGAAAATAATTAAAAAATTTAAAAATTCTATAAATTTTTTTTTCACAAAATCTAAATAATTGTTGCAAAAAACTCGTTAATTAAACGAAAAAAAAGTTCATGATTGAAATAAAATTTGTTATCTTGAATATTTTTTGGAAGTTAAATTTGGAAATTATTTTTTTTAATTTTTTTAACGGGGTTTTACAAGTTTTTTATTTCAATTTTAAATTAAAATTAAAAAGAAAATGAATAAAATAAAAATACATATTTATTTTTTTTGCAAATTTAATGATTTTTTTGCAATGCTCTGTGTGCAAAAATTTTTATCAAACCCTTCTTCTTCTAGAATTCTTTTGTATAATTTTTGATGTATAGTTCCATTTTTATCTTTAATGGAAACTGCTAGGTTGTAATAGTTATTAAGCTTTTTAGCAGTCTATGTATATGTTGAATATTTATTATATATCTCGATATCGAATAGAAATGTGATATTCTCCAGATTTGTTTTCATTTCAAAGAATGATCTTCTGTTTATGATAACATGTCTAATGTCATTATAAGATTTTTTATTAGAATCTGTTCTTTTTGATAACCATGTCCTGTATTGGACATCATATTTATCCAAGTCAAGATTTCCCATAAAAGCCATTTGTTATTTCTTGATGAAAAGAACAAGAAAAATGAATATTTGCAAATTATCAATCATCATTTTATTTATAATACAATTAATTTTTACAAATAACATGATCATATATTATGCTGATCAAAATGATAAGAAGAAAGATAACAAACGAAGATATTTTAATTCTGATATAGCCACCAGTGTTGTGATTGGGTTATCTTTATCTTTGATTTCACAATATTTTAACACACAAAAAATTTGTTCTTTTATACAAAACACATTGGATTATATTAGAGAAATAAAAGAAAAAATCAAGGCTCGAAGTAATTACCAAAATAGAGATGGTGAAGATGATGATGATTAATTTTATTTATTTATTTTTTTAATTATTTTATTAAAATATACTTACTAATATTTTTAGAGAATGATTATGATGAAATTATAACAAATTAACACAAGAACAAGTTTATTAAAAAAATTAATTTTGTATTATTAATTCCTATTCAATAAAAGATATTAAAATTTAAATGTCATCATTAAACACCAATGGAAAATAATATTATATTATCTCAATATGATAATGAAATACAAAATTATATTAATTCTCTTCATATTGATTTTGAATTATTCAAGAAAAAAATATTAGCAAAATATGATAAAAAATATTTAAATAATCGTTCACAGGTACCAAATTCATTTATATTATATAGAACTGAAATTTCTAATATACTTAAAGAAAAATATATTGTAAAACAAGAATTTATTTCAAGGTTTATCGCAAATAAATGGGAAAATGAAAGTAAAATGGTTCGAAAATAGTTTGAGGATATAACAGATTATTTAAACCAATTAAAAAATCCAAATCATGTAAACAAAAAAGAAAAGATATCTAGTAAACCAGAAGAAATTGTTACAATTTCCCTAAATGAAGCAATAAATTCTGCCTTCCAACTTTGTACATATGACTATGAAAATAAATATTTTTATTTTGTTAATCGTTACAATTAAATATATTTAATATGGATATGATATGTTATTTACAAATAAACGAATCATGAAATAAATAAATTATTTTTTTAAATTTTGTTTTTGGGTTTCAAATATTCTTTTCATTTCTTTAGCTATATAATGATAGAATTCTTTTTCTTTATTCGACATTTTATTCCAAATTTTTGAGGTTTTATCACATTTTCTGTATTGAAAATTTTTCATTTGCTCTTCATAATATAATGTTTTGAAAACAATATATGAATTACATGTTCTTTTTGTTTGATGAAAAGTGTTAAGCAACCGTGATACGATTTCGTGAATTTTTTGGTTTTCCATTTTTTATGAGTATATGAATAAAATGAATAATAAGATTAAATATTATTTTTAATTACTAAGTTTTAATTTGTTTAAATACAAATAGTTATGATTTTTTTAAAATTAATTTAGACGATGTTGTTAAAAATATCTTTATTTTCACTTGTGATGTTATCCTATACAATTTTTCAAATAGTGATTGGGATAAAATCAAATAGTCAGTGACTCGATACATATGATGACAGACTGTTTAGGTATTTTGATCACGATAATGATATTTGTATTTAAAAATATATTTATCACAAACAAAAAATCAATAAAAACAAT